GGCTTCTTTATCTTTTTTTTTAAATTGTGTTGTAGTGCATTCGGAAAAACACGCAAGTCGGTTATAGTGGAATATTGCTGCTGCTATGCACAGCGCATAGGCCAATACCTGTAAAACCTCGCCAGTTGAGAAACATGTTGGAGATCTAGCGATCTAGCGAAACAAAGAATGAGAGAGCCCACGAGTGCCAACTATGAAGGCCGGGACGAATGAGTGGAGAGGGTGTCGCATGCGAAGACAAGCAGAACGCTTTGCGTGATAGGCCAGTCTAGTCTAGATTATCTACGCCTACCATGCCTCTCACTTCCACGATGCGTTTATGGAAAGGTCACAGTGCTGTGAAGAAGAAATAAACAGAACACCTAAATCCTGGATTAGGGCTGCTTTATTACTTCTCTTGATTTTATTATTGGATTCCTTATAACGTGAATCCTGCTATAACAGATTGTTTCGCATCAATCCCCTCCTTCTCGCTATAACAGGATTCCACAGTAGTAGTAGTAGTAGTAGTAGAAGTAGTAGTAGTAGTAGTAGTAGTAGAAGTAGTAGTAGTAGTAGTAGTAGTAGTAGTAGTCTTTCTTCTTGTTGTAACCACATACGACCACTCTCCCCATCCCCCCACCCCCAAACCAGTCCTTGAACTCGTGGGAAGACCGACACAAACTGTATCGTCTGTTGAGACGGAAAATAACCATTACCGGGATATGTGGTGTAGCCGTTAAGCTGTACGCAGAAGACATGAGTTCAACTCCCGAGTGAGGAATTTTTTTATCTGGGATATTGTATCTCTGCCAGCCTGAGTTGACCCAAACAGGCAGAATGGAAGCAGCTCACCTGGTGAATGATTTAAGTTGTGTCGATAGGGCACAAAACGTGCAAATTACACTAACAATAGCAGTGCCTTCATTACTCTAGTGAAGAACTATAGCAGTTATGAAGTCCTTCATAAATGACGAGTGCCTTATGGAGTGCTGCAAGACACATGTGGAGTTTTCCTCAATCAGTTGATGAAGTAGGAAGAGAAAAGATGGCAAGTGGGCGAGCGGAACAAGCGGAAATGGAAACGGCGGGGACATCATGGAAACAGCTAGAAAAAAATGCACAGGACAGGCTTCGCTAGAGAAATGTTGTTGATGGCCTATGCTCCACTGGGAGTTAAAATGGGCA